CGAAAGGTTTTGGCTAAGATGGCTGGCGCTGGGTTGACTCGCTTGGGAAGTTGTTCAAATAGTTCTACCACGGCTGCGTCGATGCACCCAAAGTCTTCGAAAAGATAACCAAACCGTACAGACCTAGCGTAAAAAGGTCTATAGTTTTCCATTCATCAGGGTGGTTCTTCATTAGTTGCCTTATATGAATCCACTCGATTCCTTCCCCGTTACCTTTGTGTCGAAGTCGATCAGTCACCCATTTTTTATCAACCCCTGCAATCTTAGCCAGTCCGTTCTTGAAAGGCTGACTCTTGATGTGTTTGATATATGCCCTCTCTAGTCTGATGTTTTCACAATGCAGCAGGGTAGTATACTCTTCGATAGTAAGCACCATGTCCTCCCGGTTGAAGGTGAAGCAACTATATCCCGGGTTCCAGAATTGAACTAAGGCTCTGATTAAGGGCTCGTCAGTCTTAACATGAAGTAAAAGTGCAATGTCACAGTATCGTTTGCTGAACTTCTATTTCCGATCATTCTTCCAACTGTCCCAGATGTCTCGAAGCTCTTGCACATTGTTTTGTTTTAGGCTGATAGAGGCGTAGTTCACCAGCTCTGACACATAACTTCCCTGAAGACTGTCTCCTTTTTCCTTCTGAGTCTTCTCGGACCATAGTCGTACCTCGGGGTTTTCAATCTCTTGTATTACAACACCTTTGTCCATTAATTCAGATTATTTTGTGTGTAATAAACGCTTTTTAAGGATCAATAGCCTCTCGTAATGATGCAAATGCTAAAAAATAAACACAAAGGCAAACAAGTCAATAAAAGATAAATAAAAAAATGACGAAAGAAAAATAAGAAAATTAAGAAGAAAAAACATGGTTAGGGCAAAAATGTCCTAGGGTTTGAAATAGGGTTTTGGGGTAGGCTCTATTTCTCCATAGTCTTCCGGTTTAGGTTCTAAAAAACGGTACCAGAGTTTTCCTTGCCGGTTCCCCCTTGGGCTTGCCAGACCCTTAGTCCTAAACCCATCACAGGCTCGTGTGGACTAAGTTAAACTCGAGAGGACACATTCCCTTATGCCCGCACGGTGAATAAATTCACACGAAGACATAAGGTATATGAATCCCGAAGGCTACTTGCTAGGCCCGCACGGTGAATAAATTCACACGAAGGTGTCGCTTTCACCCCCACTTAAAACAGGGTTTGGAGCTCGGGTATAGAGCCTTAAGTGAAAAAAGATTTGAAGGATGAAATCATGAGAAAACGATTAGTACAACTATTTACTCGAAAATATAATCAAAAGTAAGTAAAAGGATCGAGATGTTACCTTAAAATTTAAACTTACCATTTTCGTTAAAAAGACAACTGAAAATTACCTTAGCCTGAATCACTTAGTTGTGTCCCCAGCGGAGTCGCCAAGCTGTCGTAACCGTCTTTCGGTTGGGCCCCGAAATCGGGCTTCTACGTGAGTGAATTGGGTTGGAGTCACCACCGATCATTTATTTTATAAAAAATAGGTTGACCAGATACTTTATTTCTTACCTGATCTGCGTCTTACCAAAATTGTGTCGGATTCGGGAGTCGGTTACAGTCAAGGAAGGGTTAGCACCCTTGAACTGCCCTTTCAGTACTACGCCATTTTCAGTTGTCTTTAATTAAGAAAATTATAAGTTTAAATTGAAAGGTAAAATATCGATCCGAATACTTACCTTAGACAAATTTGAAAACATCCTTTAAAAAAAATCAAGGAACGCGTTAGAAAAAAATGATAAGACCCAACAAAAAATAAAGATAAGTGAAATGAAGGAGACGAAATAAAACGAGTAAAGAAAGACAAAGACAAGAATGGGATAAAGATAACAAGTAACACCATAAACAAAATAAAAATAGAGAAACAAGAATAAGAGGATAAAGAAAATAAGTAAATAAAATAAACTAAATATAATAAATAAAATGAAAAGAGTAAAAAATGAAATAAATAAAACATAGGAAAATAATAGTATAAATAATATATACATATGGATAAGTAAGAAAATAGCACATATATACGCATATTTACAAAATAATGATATAAAAGAAATACATATAACTATAATAGGATAAAGTAATAAAAATACTTATTATAGTAAATAAATATATATATAAAAAGAAAGGGGGAAATAATAATAATAAAGAAATAATTATATATATATATATAAATACTAATGGAGAAACAAAATAAAATAAAAAATATTTAAATAGGCCAAAATCAGAAACTAAAAAAAAGAAACTCAACTGCGAAGGGATCAGATTGTAAGAAAGATAAATTGGGTGCCCAAATTAAAGTAAAATCGAGACTATAGGCCGAATTAAATCGAATTTTGGGTTAAAATGGAACATTTTAAAACAGAAGAGCACCAAAACGTGGTTGACCCTAATTGCTTCAGAAACACGCAAGTCCAGGGTGAGAAATGGGTCAACACGCGGGCCAAATTGGGTCCATGGGTCTCATATAAAAGTCAATTTTTTTAAAAAAAAATTTCTCATTTCTTCATTTGAAAACCGAGAGCCCCTCAAATTCTTCATTTTCTCTCATTGTTCTTAAAAATAAAGAAAACCGGCCAACATTCAACCAGATTTCCAGAAATCGGCGGTTGCTCTGCCTCGCGCCGCTTCGCCACCGTCGTTCAATGGCGGCGACCGCCATTCACCGGCGGTAAAACCCCAAAAAATTTGATTTTTTAAAGCTCCCAACCCCCTATTTCAAAATATTCGAATAGTTTCTTCAAAAACGGCCTCGGGAGGGCTAGATCTAAATAGATAGATCCCGATAGCCCTCCCCATTCATCGGCCAAAGATCGTTCCTTTCGTGCTTTTCAAATCAATAGAGATACACAAAGCGGGGAATAGCCATATGCAAGCCAAGAATACGCTGAATCGAAGGTAAAAAAAAAGAAAATATACCTCTTTTATTTCTTTTTCGAAATGCTCTACAAGCGTTCGGACTCTCTTTGCGCTTGCTATTGTGAACTTGTGTGTGTTTGTCACGTAGTAATCTCTCTCTGATTGAGTGAATCCGTGTGTTACAACGAGTTTAATTACACTTATTTATACTGGAAAAAAACCTATTTTTAGATTACATATTTGAGTCCTAACCATACTGGTCTTTGTTGTTTGCACGTTTCTTGACTTGATTTATTGCAAAGGAAACCGGCGTTGGGGATGTGGAGCAAAACGTGCGGCGCGGGGGGACCTTGAGCGAAGGAGGCGGCGCGCTAGGGTTTCTGGAAACCCTGGTCCTCGAATGGCACTGAGAGATTAGGAGATTAGGGTTCACTTGGGTCATGTGTTCTGGGTTAATATTGGACTGTTGTAAAACGGGCTGCTGGGCCACAATTTTATTTATTCCTTGTAATGGATCTTGCAATGTACCTGTACACGTAAAATAATAACAAAATAAATAATATGTTATATGTTATATATATATATATATATATATATATATGTAACACATGAATGGATGAAATGGGGTGTCTACAGCTATCATCAATAAATATATCATATAAGTTAATATAAGTGCATATGTATACTAATTTTGAAATTCAAAGAGTTTGATATGTTCGAATGAAAAACAGATACACATGTGTTTTTCTTAATTTGGGTCTCTTTAGTCTGTTAGTAATTGGTAACTTTGAGAGAGGATAATAAAATAATATAAATACAAGTATAACAAAAATCATTCTTCATACAAAATTATAAAATATTACATATTAGATTTTCTTTCCCAGCTACGCTCAGGATTTAAGTAATTAATTAAATCTTAATTATATAAAATAATTACTATTAAAATACTCTATCTAAATAAATTTAGAATTGTACTATAATAACACGAATCAAATTACCTTAGTGATTAAAGTAATGATTGTTATTTCTAGAGGTACTAGGTTTGAGCATCAGAGACTACAAGATATTTGAGCGTTCATTTTCAAATGATTGTAAATCTTTAAAATAGATATTACGACTTATAATCAGCGTAGATTACTAAAAGAAAGAAAGAAATGATCATACTGTAATAATTTTAAAATATTACGTAAATGTTATGAATAATATTAACGTGAATGTTTTTCGCCTTTCATCTTCCTAAATTCTTAATTTTTCATCTTTTTATAATATTTATTTTATTGTAACGATTCGAATTTTCATGTCAATATTCAAACGTTGACTCGAGACATGGATAGATCAATTAATAAGTATGGTTAGATATATTGAAAATAATTGAAGTCTAATCGGATAAGAATTAGACCCAAATAATTATAAAAAGAGAAATTTTGAATTGATAATAAAAGAATTAGAGGTGTGATTTATCTATGTATTTATGATAAAGATGGTTGAATCTCAGTCAAATATTCTTCTTTGACTGTGGAAGAGGGCTGAATAGTGATGTTATCCCCCATCTCTCCTTTGATCTTTTTCATCATCTATTTCTCTCTCTTTTCCAAAACCTAGAACTTTATTGTAAAAAAGGAGCAATCTTTCTAAGCTTTAGACAAGATTCAGAATTGGAGAGTAAAACTTGTTACCAGCATCTCAAAAGTCTAGAAAAGAAAACTCATCACTTTCACGTAGGTGGTGTAAAGCTACTAAGGAGGTTTTAAGATGGTAAATCATGGAGCTTGTTCCAAGCTTCTTTCATTACATTTTATAAATTTTAATTTCGTGTTATTACTTTTTTTTTTGAATTTTGTGTTTGATTAACGTATTCTCTCTCTGTAATATTTTTGGGGGTCATAAATGTGATGTTTTATACGTAAAATATATACATTTTGAATGTTTTGATTGATAAGTATATGATATGATAATTTCGATGACATTTTATACTAGAAAATTATAAAAACAACGCTATATGATGTACTGTTAGTGCCATGAGCTTTAAAACCCGGCAACTGACAACCAAATACATATCCCTGGTATCTGTGGTCCCACAAAATAAAGACCAAGCAACCAACGGTTTTGCAATACATTAGTATTTCACAGGTAAAGCAAACATGCACAAGCCTTAAATATTCATGATTACACAACACATAAGCCAAGTTTCAAAGTTTACATTGGATCAGTTTAAACCACCTATGTTTATAGTCAGATCCAACATTTACATACAATAAAGCCGTTAGCAGCTTCCACACCACTCCCATGATATCAGTACTGCTCCCAGGACGTGGTAAAGAAGAGCTGTAAGTAAAAGATAAGCCAAGAATGATTTGCCTAGCAACCCAAAACACGTTGCACAAACCCCCAACAGCTAATGCAACGCCGGTTCAATTCGGTTGCTGCCAGAGAGAAAGCTAATCCCTCGGTATCGAACTTTGAGGTAGCAGCAAACAGTGATCTGTTGGTGCAACCCACCCGTCGGCCATAACCGAGCCACGCCCGGTGTCCATCATCACAGGGAAAGAGTGGAACGACAGTCCAAGATGATTGATCGGGGCATTGTGACCAAAATCTTCCCTCGAGTACATGCTGGTCACTTCTGAACCCGAAAGTGTCGAGCCTCCTCCGATTGCTTCCTTGGACGAGTTCATGGTTCCACTATCAGATTGCAGGACTTTGGAGTTTTGTGAGCCTGTAGGGTGAAAAACTTGTCCTTCGCCGGCTATCTTCGTCTCTGTTCCGTTTGAAGTTTTCGTGTTCAAGAAACGGCCACCGCATCCCCTCAGTCGACGCATCGCGTGCAGGTGGCGAGAATAGTGCATATATGGCTGTGGAACAAAAGCAGAAGCCTGAATATTTCCAAGAAACTTTGGCAAAAACTTTCCAAACCAAAAGAAGAGAGATAATACCTTGCGAGCTTTAGTGAGTTTATTCTCAAGAGCAGCAGCCTTTGCACGGGATTGCCGACGCCTCATGATTCCATTGTACTGCTTGGCATTTACATAAATCGGTCCATTCTCTGATGCCAAATTCAGTGGCAGCATAACACGCCCCTATTTCACATGGAACACATAAAATCAGGATAAGCTATCCATCCCAAGCACTGAAGAAAGATACTATAGCTTCATAATTAGTATGTAAAACAGACTTGAATCGAAATCAAAATAATGGAAGACAAACCGGAACCGGAGGTCCATAGGTTGAGAAAATTCCATAGCATTGATCCATGTAAGGGTATTTTGCACAGACCTATGGTTGGATTAAGCAAGGATGAAACATGTTAGAAAAGATAAAAGATTCAGTTTACGTACGGAAGTTCAAACAAATACTGTTATTACCATTGGCTGACCAAATCCTAGCTCAAAGCGAGTATGCTGTTCTGATGTAGCTGATTGCAGGACGGCCAGAGGTTTCTGTCCATCCTCTGAACCTTTGCCATCGCCTGAATGGGAAATCATGCCATCTTATTAAAAGCTTTTAAAAATAAATAATTTTTTTATATATATTTTTAATAGTATTAGATGATTATACGATACTATTTGTTTAAATTTTTTTAGACATTAACAACGAACACACATTGCAGATATAGTTGTTCGAATCCAGAATCTCTGGACAGAATAACACTCCCTTATATCATTGGGACTGCTTGATGGGTTATATATCTTTTAGTTTATGACAATAAGTTTATAAAAATGTATTCCAACAACGCATCACATGTAGATTCTTAATAAATTACGTAAATGATCAAAGTTGACGTTAAACCGGGCTAGCACGCTAGAAATAACAAAATAGTGTTAAAAAACATTTCAAAGATGCTTCAACTTGCCTTGTCCTTAAGTTTCCAATATCCTATAGACATCAACTCAACTTCTAACTACTTTATCTAATATTGGAAAAGAGGCATTCATACTTCAAAAGTAAAAGAATTCTATATATTTCCAAGTACATTCACTTTTTAAAAGACAGATTTACCTGAATTAGGGCTGTAAATGAGACGAGATATATTGTGAGCTACTCGAGATCGACTCGGTCAAGGCTCGATAAATACTCGGATCGAATGGACTCGACTCAAAAAACTTGAGAGCACCTCTAAAATATAATATATTAAGATTTTATTTTTTTTAAAAATAAATTATTAATAATATTAACATTTATGTGTTGATTTTTTTAAAAAAAATACAATGAGGTTTTCATGTATTTAAGGTTCAGGTTCGAGTTTCAGGCTTCAATCGAGTTAAGTTTAAGATTTTTTTCTTCTTCATTTCGAGCATTTTCGAGCTACTCATGAGTTTTAATTCAGGATTTCGAGTTCGAGTCGAGCTTGAACATTTTAAGCTCGTGAGTATTCGAGCCGAGTCAAGCTCCATTTAAGAGTTTTCAAGTAGAGTCGAGCTCAGAAATACTCGAGCTCAACTCGACTTGTTTACACCCCTAACCTGAATATAGGGGTGAGCAAAATTCAACTCAACTTGAAAAAAATTAAATTTTTCGACTCGTAATTTCATAAATTTGATTAGACTCAACTTGAAAAGATTTCAAATTCAAGTTATAAAATAGAACTCGAATAACTCAAATTTTTTAGTAATTAGTGGATTGATTTTCAAGTTTGAGTCGAGTCTCTCGACTCTACATGATATATGTATATAGCATATGAGAAAATATGAAAAATATATTTATGTATATCATATATGGTTATAAAAAAACCGTTTGAATTATAATAAAAAAAATACCATAATATTATAAATATCTACAAAAAAAAATTTAAACAAAAACTCAACCAACTCGACTCGACTTGAAAATTTTTTGAATAAATTATGAGTTATAAAATAGAACGCATCAACTCGACTAATTTAAAATTCTTTTACTCGACTCAATTGAATACTCACCCAACTTGAATAGATGGGAGGAAAGAGGAGAAAAATTAAAAGATGAAAACATGTATTTGTTTCCTTTTGTTGTGCCTAGTGAGTAAGATGGAAAGAAAATAAAAGGAGTTTTTAAGCCACTTTGCCTGCCATATTTTTATATATAATGCTAAATTATCCTAAACTCTTCTATACATAAATTCGAGCACTCGAATTAACGTCCTTTTATATATTAAAACAATAACGATGTTAACTGAATTAAGATTCAATAATTTGGCAGTCACAATTTCTTTTTCTGAATAAAATGCAGTCACAATTTTTATCTCTAAACAAATTGTGATAAAATATGGATATAGTTTAAGTCAATAATGTAAACTTCCTTGACAATCTTCAAATCTATGAACTCTACTGGTACGTTCTTCTCCCCATGTTTAAATCAAAGTTCAAAAAGGGGAAAATGTAGAAATAAATACATTCCTACAGAGAATGCAAGTTTTATATAAGCCCAGGCATACAATATATTTTAGATTTGTTGTATGTATTTTTTTATTGAAAATATATTTTCAGATATTATATTTTTGTAAATTCGTCTATTTCTAAAATTTTAAAAATTCACCCCACATAAAATCTTGCATCCATAAAAACCACATGATTTTAAGAGATAAACCCAAAAATTGAGATGAGATTTACCAGGGAATAAGGTGAACTGAGCAGGACGCCCTTTGTTCACTCCTTGTTCAGCTTGTTTAGACCAAGGGAGTTGGTCTCCATTAGAAGGACGTTCCATCAACACGGGCTTCAATTGGCCACAAGATTCTCCATAAATGGACGCCTGAGATTTAAGGGCAGTCCACCAAGTCTGTGATGGTACTTGTGCCAACTGTCCCATGGGATCACGCACATTTCCATCATGTTCTTTAACATACAGAGTTTGCATGGCCATCCTAATTTCTCAAACTGAGTAACTATACTCCAATTATCAAGTAGTTCCTGCAATATAAAACATGAAATTGAACATGAATCGCAAGACTTCTTTAACTTGGATTTTCATGTGACTACAAGAAAAAAAACAAACCCAGAATTAGTAAATAGAAAAAAGGGCAAAACCCCCGTAGCTAAAGGTAAAAGAAAGGAAAGAAACTAAAATCTCAGATAGAGAAAAAAGGGTAAAAAAAAAACAGAAAGAGATCATCAAATACTGAACCAAAGAAGAAGAAGAAGAGATCCAGATGATGATAACATGAAACTAAACAGAAAAATGATGAAAAAAACAAAGAATAAAGAGATCAAAGAACTCACAAGAGTGGTAAAATGAAAGAGGAGAAGCCGGTGGCGCGGATTTTTCTTAGTTGTAGAGAGAGCCCCTTCTGTTAGGAGCCATGTCGGCACAATTTCAAGGCAAAGAAATTAGAGAAGAACTGTGAATCAGGGACAAAGAGAGTGGGGTTGAGGGGGCCGATAAGCGTACAAGTGTAATGGAACTACAGGCTGCTTTCCAATCAGCTTCGGTTATCATGCAACTTTTTTGTACAACTCAATACAGTAGCAACTAGCATTAAAATAATCAAACCAAACCTGTTCCACCTTTCTTTTTAGATAAAAAATCTGTACTCTAAATATAATTTGCCGTAACTTGTATTGCTTTGGGTTTGTTTTTTCTGATAACTACAAATATTTGTATATTTAAACAATCTATTAATGTTTGGGTTCAAGTTTATCCGAAGGCCTTTGTACGCACAAGACCTAATCTTTCGGTTCCTTATATCTTAGCTGTACTAGATTCAGTTTAACATATCTTGCTGCAATCAAGAGGCGTGGTACGATTATTATTCACATTTTTTGGTTCAGGGGCGATGTAATGTAGTATTCGATTAAGTCGAGTCGAGCCAAGTAAAATAATTTCAAGTAATTCGAGTTGACGAATCTTATTTTACAATTAGAGTTAATTTGAATTTTTTTTTGAGTCAAGTTAAGTTTATAAAATTTGAGTCTAATCGAGTCGATCTTTTGAATTTTTGTTTTAATTTAATTGTGAGTAATTATAATATTATAATATTATTTGGTTTTAATTTAAGTGATTTTTTTATAACCATATATACAATACAAATATGTTTCTTCATATTTTTTTTCATATGTGATATACATATATTATGCAAAGTCTAAGGACTCGACTAAAACTTGAAAATAAATCAACTAATCACTAAAAATTTAGAATTATTCAAGTTGCATTTTTCAACTCGATTTGAATTTGAAATTTTTTCGAGTCGAGTTTAGTTTATGAAATTGTAACTGGAAGTCAATTCGAGTAGAATTAAGTCAAAAAAATCGGTTTTTTAGTTGAGTCGAGTTTTGATCACCTCTAATGATATGATTCTCTTTAAATGAAAAATTCTAGAATGCAAATCATTCATTGCAATTCAACACTAATTTTATAGGGTAAAATTTTCAAATGGTCATTAAATTATATCAAAATTATCCTTTTGAACGTTTAACTTTTAAAAGTTACATAATGAATATTAAATTTTAATTTTGTTACAAAATGGACACAAAACCATTAAGAAATATCTTATTTGACCCTTCAATTATAACTAAAATTTAATTTTACTCTTAATTTTAATTAAAATAATTCTTACTAGGTTAGTTGAATTAAAAATAAAATAGATATAGATACAATAAATATCATATTTTAATTTTATATTATAAATATTAAACATTTACCATATAAATTAAAAATGATTTGATATGATATTATAAAACTATGGATGTATTATTTTTAAATTACATTTAAATTTGTTAAATAAAAGTTAAATGGTTAAATCACATCATTAATAAAAATAATTTTATTATTTGATAATATAAATTTTCATATGTCGAAAATTATAAATTTTTTATTTTAAAAATGCAAAAATAATTAAATGAATAATTAGTTATAAATAATTTTTTCTTAATAAAAATTAATTTCATTGTTTGATTACTATTTTTTTAAAAATATTTTTTAATTTTAATTTTTTTTTCATATATTTAAATTTTTTAAATTTTCTAAATTTTAAGAATTACTACTTAAAAATGTTGAAGAATGTTAAAGTGAAATTTTAGTTATAATCTAGGGGATAAATAAGATATTTTTCATTACTTGAGTATGTTATTCATCCCTTAATAATATTTAACGATTGTTAAATTTCAAAGTTTAATGTATATTTTGTAACTTTTAAAATTTCAATGATAAATAAAATCAATTTAAAAAAAAAATTGTGACTATTAATGAATTTTACCCTATTTTATGTTAGTGGTGCATTTCAAATGCATATCATTAGTGGTGCATTTCAATGAATGTTGTAGACTCATCCCTCTTTAAATATATATATTTGATATTTAAATTAAGTATTAATAAATTACTAATAACAAAATTCTATTCTTAAGCTTTTTTTTAATTTATTCATAAGTTAGTACTTGAAATTGGACATCTTTTTTCAAGTTGATATCTAAAGAATTTTTGTTCACATATTTTAATATTTTTATTAATGGTGTCAACTTTTAATGACGTGATAACAAAAGATTATATCACCAGTTAATAATCATTCATCATGTGCTTATTTTTAAAAATAAATTTGAAAAAAATATTAAAAGTACTAAAATAGTGGATGGAATTGAAGTTGTAGTACTAGCTTGAGAGTAAAAAAAAATAGGTACCAATTTGAGAGAATTTGTCTAATTCAGATACCAACACAAAAGAAAAGATTCTTTAGGTATCAACTTGAGATAAGATGACTAATTTAGGTATCAAAAATATGTATTTAAACTTTTTGTTATTCCATTTAAATTTTTATAATTGACCAGTCTTTGTCCAGGACTATATCTGACTTAGTCCTTACTAATTGTTTACCAAAATAAGATATGGAGCACATGTTATTATTATTTATTTAATTATTTTGGTTAAATAAAAATTTTTAATTACATTATATGTCTTATCTATTTTTAAATTTATTAAAACAATTATGTTAATAAAGTATTTGTACAATGATAAAGTTAATTACTTAATCAAAAATGTTACTTTTGAAAATGTTATATAAATTTAATTTTAATCCTTAAATAGGACTTTAATTTGTTTTCAAATAAACCCTTAACTTTGGTCTTTCATGGAATGTCTTAACCTTACATTAAAATTTAAATAAATTCTAAAAATTCTTTAAGAACAATAGCAATATGAACTTATTTAGGTAAAGTTGTAAAGTTGAAAGGTATTTGTTTTTAGTGATAACCATCTTTTTGATAATAGAAGAAACAATAACTCTTAAATAATTGAATATTAAAGGCCAAGTAGTGGTGGATATGCCATACCATCCATTTTATTTTCTGGTTAGGCATAGAATTACTTTTCGGACATTAAAGTATTGAAAAGTGTGCACTACAAATTATTTCATTCTTTGTCCACTGATTAGCATTAACTTTTCATTTTCCTAAATTTCTTACTTTCCCTTCATTAACTATTATTGTAATATGATTTTTTTATAGTTTCATTAATATAAAACTTAGATGTAATGTGATATTATCTTCTACTGAAACAGTCTGTCCAAGAAATATTTAGTGAAATGAATCAAAATATTATATATTTATATTTTATTTGAAATGGATTCTTTAAAGAAATTCAAGCCTTTATGCTTTCTTATTCTGCCACAAAATATAGCTACAATATATACCAATATAGTTAGACTATGGCTTTCTAGCTTCTTAACTTCACTTAGAATAGACGCTTCTATAATGAGATTAAGATTCCTACTTAATTTACCTTTAATTTTTTAATTCTAAGAAAAAAATAATATATTAAACGTTGACCATTCCCAAATAGTTAAAAAAAAGAGGTTATTTAGGAAGGAGGACCTTCATATTTTATATAAACATTTTTTATTACAAGTGATATACAGATCTTAACAAACCATGTTTCTAATCATTTCCGTGCTTTGACGAAAATAATGCAATACTTGTAATGCCATATTTGATACTTAAAACATAAATAATTCTACGAGTAAAAAAAAAAAAAGCTCTTCTATGAATGAACTAGAAAGACAGATTCTTGAAGTTAGCCCTAATTATGGTCCCTTGTTAGTATTTTGTATTCATATTTGATAGTTAAAACATAAATAATTCGATGAACTAGAAAGACTGATTTTGTAATTCTGCCTATTTATTTTAACAGATTTTTTAGGCTTAAATAAATGGCAAAATTATCATTAGGCCCCTTTAATTTTTGCATATTTTTGTATTTTAGTCCCTAATCTGTTTATTTTTATTTTATTTTATTTTGAATTAGCCTTTAAATTTTAATTTATTTTAATTTAGCCTATGTTTATTTCTGATTTAGCTACTAACTTTTATTTTCTTGCATTTTAGTCATTGTTATTTTATATTTATACAATTAGGTCCTTATATTTAGGTTTATTTTATTTTTATTTTATGTTGCTATTTTTCTATTTTTATTTTATTTATTGTTTTATTTCTTTCTTTAATTAAGTTTATTAAATGTTTCATTTTTCATAGTTTAATTTATTAGATTTAGTTTTAAATTAGATTCGAATCAAAACTTAGAAATTAGGACGACACTCTAATTTAATTAGGGAGCACTTCGAGTCGAGTTTTCGCATAAGATGTCCGATTACTCGAGTAGAATGCTCCATTCTAAAATTAATTAATAATTAATATTTTCTAAAATACTTTAGTTTTATTAATTTAGATAATAATTAGGTTTTAGTTTACATTTAGTCCTCAACTTTAGAAATTACCTATTTAGGTCCTTAGACTTTTAATTCTTTTAGAGCCCGTATTTTAGTTCTTTGACCTTTTTAGTGCTTCCACTTTTAGATAGGTTTTATTATAGTCCCTCTAATTTATGGAATAATCTGAGTCGGCCCTCGCGTAAATGCTCAAGGGACCACCTCTGTTATTTGATTTAATAATCATTTTAAAAATCAAATAGGATTAATATTAGAACCTATACTTCTAGATTTGAGCCTCTAGGTCCTTTAACTTTCATAATTTGACACTTTAAGCTAGAAAAAACCTTAATTTATTTTTACTTTAATTAGGGTAAATAAAATTTGTTTGATCACATTTTATTTTTAACCATAAGGCAATTTCCACTTGTTAAGAAATTAATAGTATATCTCCTACAATCATGCTCAGGGGGTGACTACTGGTGATTCATGAAATAAGTCGACATCCTTTTCAAAACCACATCATGATTTTTAAAATTAAGACAATATCATGTTATTAGGCACAATAATTGGGCTCCAGCGTTTATGCTAGGGGCGAATGCTATCGGCCTTAATAAACGAATATCCTTTTAAACTTTTTGCATCCGTAATGATTTTTAAATTAAATAAAGATCGAACTCAAAATTTTTTTTATTTTAAATATAGGGTAACCAACTAGGTACCAATTTTTG